GTGTTCCCCATAATAAACAAGGTGACATTATTCACCTGATGAAGGAGTAAGGATATACTCCGACACGTTGTGTTCCCCATAATAAAGAAGGTGACATCATTCACCTGATAAAGGAGTAAGTATATACTCCGACACGTTGTGTTCCCCATAATAAAGAAGGTGACATCATTCACCTGATAATGGAGTAAGTATACACTCCAACACGTTGTGTTCCCCATAATAAAGAAGGTGCCATTATTCACTTGAAGAAGGAGTAAGTATATTCTCCGACGCGTGTTCCCCATAATAAAGAGATGTTGACATCATTCACCTGATGAAGGAGTAAGGATATACTCTGACACGTTGTGTTCCCCATAATAAAGAAGGTGACATCATTCACCTGATGAAGGAGTAAGTATATACTCCGACACGTTGTGTTCCCTCATAATAAAGAAGGTGCCATTATTCACTTGAAGAAGGAGTAAGTATATTCTCCGACGCGTGTTCCCCATAATAAACAAGTTGACATCATTCACCTGATGAAGGAGTAAGGATATACTCTGACACGTTGTGTTCCCCATAATAAAGAAGGTGACATCATTCACCTGATGAAAGAGTAAGGATATACTCCGACACTTTATGCTCCTCCATAATAAAGAAGTTGACATTATTCACCTGATGAAGGAGTAAGGATATACTCCGACACGTTGTGTTCCTCATTATAAAGATGTTGACGTTATTCACCTGAAGAAGGAGTAAGGACATACTCCGACACGTTGTGTTCCCCATAATAAAGAAGTTGACATCATTCACCTGATAAAGGAGTAAGTATATACTCATCGACACGTTGTGTTCCCATTAATAAAGAAGTTGACATTATTCACCCGATGAAGGAGTAAGGATATACTGCGACACGTTGTGTTCCCGATAATAAACAAGTTGACATTATTCACCTGATGAAGGAGTGAGGATATACTCCGACACGTTGTGTTCCCCATAATAAACAAGGTGACATTATTCACCTGATGAAGGAGTTAGGATATACTCCGACACGTTGTGTTCCCCATAATAAAGAAGGTGACATCATTCACCTGATAAAGGAGTAAGGATATACTCCGACACATTGTGTTCCCCATAATAAAGAAGGTGACATCATTCACCTGATAAAGGAGTAAGTATATACTCCGACACGTTGTGTTCCCCATAATAAAGAAGTTGACATTATTCACCTGATGAAGGAGTAAGGATACACTGCGACACGTTGTGTTCCCCATAATAAACAAGTTGACATTATTCACCTGATGAAGGAGTGAGGATATACTCCGACACGTTGTGTTCCCCATAATAAACAAGGAGACATTATTCACCTGATGAAGGAGTAAGGATATACTCCGACACGTTGTGTTCCCCATAATAAAGAAGGTGACATCATTCACCTGATAAAGGAGTAAGTATATACTCCGACACGTTGTGTTCCCCATAATAAAGAAGGTGACATCATTCACCTGATAATGGAGTAAGTATACACTCCGACACGTTGTGTTCCCCCATAATAGAGAAGGTGACATCATTCACCTGATGAAGGAGTAAGTATATACTCCAACACGTTGTGTTCCTCATAATAAAGAAGGTGCCATTATTCACTTGAAGAAGGAGTAAGTATATTCTCCGACGCGTGTTCCCCATAATAAAGATGTTGACATCATTCACCTGATGAAGGAGTAAGGATATACTCTGACACGTTGTGTTCCCCATAATAAAGAAGGTGACATCATTCACCTGATGAAGGAGTAAGGATATACTCTGACACGTTGTGTTCCTCATAATAAAGAAGGTGACATTATTCACTTGAAGAAGGAGTAAGTATATTCTCCGACGCGTGTTCCCCATAATAAAGATGTTGACATCATTCACCTGATGAAGGAGTAAGGATATACTCTGACACGTTGTGTTCCCCATAATAAAGAAGGTGACATCATTCACCTGATGAAGGAGTAAGGATATACTCCGAAACGTTGTGTTCCTCATAATAAAGAAGTTGACATTATTTAACCTGAAGAAGGAGTAAGTATATCCTCCGACACGTTGTGTTCCCCATAATAAAGAAGTTGACATTATTCACTTGAAGAAGGAGTAAGTATATACTCCGACACGTGTTCCCTCATAATAAACAAGTTGACATCATTCACCTGATGAAGGAGTAAGTATACACTCCGACACGTTGTGTTCCCCATAATAAAGACGTTGACATTATTCACCTGATGAAGGAGTATGGATATACTCCGACACGTTGTGTTCCCCATAATAAAGAAGTTGTCATTTACCCGATGAAGGAGTAAGGATATACTCCGACACGTCGTGTTCCTCATAATAAAGAAATTGACATTATTCACCTGAAGATGGAGTAAGGATATACTCTGACACGTTGTGTTCCTCATAATAAAGAAGGTGACATTATTCACTTGAAGAAGGAGTAAGTATATTCTCCGACGCGTGTTCCCCATAATAAAGATGTTGACATCATTCACCTGATGAAGGAGTAAGGATATATACTCTGACACGTTGTGTTCCCCATAATAAAGAAGGTGACATCATTCACCTGATGAAGGAGTAAGATATACTCCGACACGTTGTGTTCCTCATAATAAAGAAGGTGACATTATTCACCTGAAGAAGGAGTAAGTATATTCTCCGACGCGTGTTCCCCATAATAAAGATGTTGACATCATTCACCTGATGAAGGAGTAAGGATATACTCTGACACGTTGTGTTCCCCATAATAAAGAAGGTGACATCATTCACCTGATGAAGGAGTAAGTATATACTCCGACACGTTGTGTTCCCCATAATAAAGAAGGTGACATCATTCACCTGATGAAGGAGTAAGTATATACTCCGACACGTGGTGTTCCCCTCGATAATAAAGAAGGTGACATCATTCACCTGATAAAGGAGTAAGTATATACTCCGACACGTTGTGTTCCCCATAATAAAGAAGGTGACATCATTCACCTGATAAAGGAGTAAGTATATACTCCAACACATTGTGTTCCCCATAATAAAGAAGGTGACATCATTCACCTGATAAAGGAGTAAGTATACACTCCGACACGTTGTGTTCCCCATAATAGAGAAGGTGACATCATTCACCTGATGAAGGAGTAAGTATATACTCCGACACGTTGTGTTCCTCTAATAAAGAAGGTGCCATTATTCACTTGAAGAAGGAGTAAGTATATTCTCCGACGCGTGTTCCCGATAATAAAGATGTTGACATCATTCACCTGATGAAGGAGTAAGGATATACTCCGACACGTTGTGTTCCCCATAATAAAGAAGGTGACATCATTCACCTGATAAAGGAGTAAGGATATACTCCGACACGTTGTGTTCCCCATAATAAAGAAGGTTGACATGATTCACCCGAAGAAGGAGTAACTATATACTCCGACACGTTGTGTTCCCCATAATAATGAAGTTGACATCATTCACCTGATAAAGGAGTAAGTATATAGTCCGACACGTTATGTTCCCCATAATAAAGAAGTTGACATCATTCACCTGATGAAGGAGTAAGGATATACTTCGACACGTTGTGCTCCCCATAATAAAGAAGGTGACATCATTCACCTGATAAAGGAGTAAGGATATACTCTGACACGTTGTGTTCCCGATAATAAAGAAGTTGACATCATTCACTTGATAAAGGAGTAAGGATATACTCCGACACGTTGTGTTCCCCATAATAAAGAAGTTGACATCATTCACCTGATAAAGGAGTAAGTATATACTCCGACACGTTGTGTTCCCCATAATAAAGAAGGTGACATCATTCACCTGATGAAGGAGTAAGGATATACTCCGACACGTTGTGTTCCTCATAATAAAGATGTTGACGTTATTCACCTGAAGAAGGAGTAAGGACATACTTCGACACGTTGTGTTCCCCATAATAAAGAAGTTGACATCATTCACCTGATAAAGGAGTAAGTATATACTCCGACACGTTGTGTTCCCCATAATAAAGAAGGTGACATTATTCACCTGATGAAGGAGTAAGGATATACTCCGACACGTTGTGTTCCCGATAATAAACAAGTTGACATTATTCACCTGATGAAGGAGTGAGGATATACTCCGACACGTTGTGTTCCCCATAATAAACAAGGTGACATTATTCACCTGATGAAGGAGTAAGGATATACTCCGACACGTTGTGTTCCCCCATAATAAAGAAGGTGACATCATTAACTTGATAAAGGAGTAAGTATATACTCCGACACGTTATGTTCCCCATAATAAAGAAGGTGACATCATTCACCTGATGAAGGAGTAAGGATATACTCCGACACTTTATGCTCCTCATAATAAAGAAGTTGACATTATTCACCTGATGAAGGAGTAAGGATATACTCTGGCACATGGTGTTCCCCATAATAAACAAGTTGACATCATTCACCTGATGAAGGAGTAAGGATATACTCCGACACATTGTGTTCCCCATAATAAAGAAGGTGACATCATTCACCTGATGAAGGAGTAAGGATATACTCCGACACGTTGTGTTCCCCATAATAAAGAAGGTGACATCATTCACCTGATGAAGGAGTAAGGATATACTCCGACACGTTGTGTTCCCCATAATAAAGAAGGTGACATCATTCACCTGATGAAGGAGTAAGGATATACTCCGACACGTTGTGTTCCCCATAATAGAGAAGTTGACATCATTGACCTGATGAAGGAGTAAGGATTTACTCTGACACGTGGTGTTCCCCATAATAAACAAGTTGACATCATTCAACTGGTGAAGGAGTAAGGATATACTCTGACACGTGGTGTTCCCCATAATAAACAAGTTGACATCATTCACCTGATGAAGGAGTAAGGATATACTCTGGCACATGGTGTTCCCCATAATAAACAAGTTGACATCATTCACCTGATGAAGGAGTAAGGATATACTCCAACTTAGACGTTGACCACATTCTCAGCAGAGTCATGGTGCTGACAAACCGGAATCAGGTCAACCCCAGGCCCAAACCAACGATCATGGATTCCGGAATTCCCGTGGAACTCTTCCACATTGCGAATTCCGACTGACACACAAAGTATCCAAACAACATTGATGGATATACACACAACATTCTGGGATTACCGAAGCTAGTAGCTCCAAATCCAACGACAGTGCAGTCCTGTCCTGTCATAGCGTAGTCGGCGGTGGCGAGGCAGGCTGGGGCGGTGTTGGAGATGGCGTTGAAGTCGATGGGGTCGACCTTGAGGATCGCTACATCATTGGCTGCAACGTAATGAAGTTTGTAAATAAGAGCCAGTGTCTATGATTTGTTCAACTATACATGTACTTTCCAAAATATAATGACACTATTGGTAGAAATATTTTGGAAATATATACCTTAATTGACTACGAATGTTACCTATAGTTAATATTAATAATAATAATGGATATTTTATTGCGCCATTTTCCACCCACTGATACATGCTCAAGGCGCTACATAACATCATACATACAGTGCATACAGAGGATAAAATAGCAAAATAAGTATACATTGAAATTGATGACAGAAAGCTTGATTTTAGAGATAGGCTTTGGAAAAAAAGGAAGTCTTCAACTTAATTTTGAAAGTTTCCAATGTGGGAGACTGCTTTATGTGGAGAGGGAGAGAATTCCACAGAGTAGGACCAGCGTACTGGAAAGACCTCTTGCCAAAAGAAGAAAGCAGAACTTTGGGAACGGAGAGAAGACATTGGTCTTGAGATCTGAGAGTTCTGGTAGGGGAGTAGACAGTGAGAAATTCAGAGAGATATGAAGGAGCTTGATTATGCAAACATTTATACACAATGCAAAGAAGTTTGAAGTCAATCCGGAACTTGATTGGAAGCCAGTGTAATGATGAGAGTACAGGGGTGATATGGTCTCGTTTAGTGGTAAGGGATATAATGCCCTATAGTGATTCATAAACACATGCCCTGTCATCGTTACGCATGGTGATGATCACTGGATTGTCTGGTTCAGACTCGATTTGTTTACAAATAACATCATACAGCTGTAATACTGCTGAAACAAATATCTGCTCATGATATAGTCACAACTGTACAATCGACTCTGTTTCTGGCAGAGATTTCTTATGAATGTGGCAAGGGTTTTGTCGCTTCTCACGGACATTGATTGTTTCATGTATTGAATGTTGCAGGTTTCATCGACTGTGATTTTTACCTGTGGTTTGAGTGCTGTAGTTCTCATGCATCTCGAAGCTGTTGACGTTAAGCATGGTGGTTGATTCTATTGTTGTGTGGTTGCCCACATTCACCTGGATTTCATCAGCAGTTTGGAACCTACACAAGGAAGTTACGATCTGTGTTAAGGCGGTGCTTCCTTGTGTTACGAACTAATAACAGCTGACAAAATGATCAACTTGGAGGTGTATGCATATTAATCTAATTAAATACGTTTCAATATTAAATGCAATTATCTACAAAATCCAGAGCCCGTCGTTCATCGCTTCAAACAGCAGCTATCAACAAAATAATGATGATACCAGGTGGAGCAATCGGTAGGCGGTTCCTGTCTTACCTGCGTTAGCGGTCACAATCCCACGCAAATACAAGTCAACTGTTCTACTTATTCATGTATTAACTAAGGACATCCACATTCTACTTATCAATTTGTTAAGTAAGTACATCCACATTCTACTTATCCACGTGTTAATTCAATACATCCACAAACTACTGATCCGTGTGGTAAGACAGTACATCCTCATTCTACTTATCCGTGTGTTAAGACAGTACATCCAGATATTCCTTATCCGTGTGTTAAGTCAGTAAATCAACATTCTAGAATGTGGATGTACTCACTTAACTCACGGATAAGTAGAAATGTGGATGCACTGACTCAACATACGGATAAGTAGAATGTAGATGTACTGATTTAACATACGGATAGGTAGAATGTGCATGCACTGATTTTAGACATGGTCAAGCAGAATGTGGATGTACTGAATTAACACTGATAAGTAGAATGTGGATGTACTGACTTTACACACGGATAAGTAGAATGTGGATGTACTCACTTAACACATGGATAAGCAGAATGTCCATGTACTGTCTTAACACACGGATAAGTAGAATGTGGAAGCACTCACTTAACACATGGATAGGTAGAATATGGATGAAGTGACTTAACACATGGATAAGTAGAATGTGGATGTATTCACTTAACTCATAGGTTTGTATAATGTGGATGTACCAACTGAACACACACGGATAAGTAGAATGCGGATGTATTAAATTAACACACAGATAAGTAGAATGTGGATCTACGGACTTAACACGTGGATCAGTAGAATGTGGATGCACTGACTTAACACTTGGATATGTTGAATGTGGATGTCCTGAATTAACACATGAATAAGTACAATGTGGATGTACTCACTTAACTCACGGATAAGTAGAATGTGGATGTACTGACTTAACACACGTAAAGTAGAATGCTGATGCACGCACTTAAGACATGGATCAGTACAATGTGGTGCACTAACTTAAAACGTGGATAAGTAGAATGTCGATGTACTGACTTAAAACAAGGATAAGTAGAATGTGGATGTACTGACTTAACACATGGATATGTAGAATGTTGATGTACTGACTTAACACACGGTTAAGTAGAATGTGGAAGCACTCACTTGACACATGGATAAGTATAATGTGGATGTACTAACTGAACACACGGGTAAGTAGAATGCGGATTTACTGAATTAACACACGGATAAGTAGAATGTGGATGTACGGACTTACCACGTGGATAAGTAGAATGTGGATGTACTGACCTAACACATGGATCAGTAGAATGTGGATGTACTGACTTAACACGTGGATAAGTAGAATGTGGATGTACTTACTTAGCATATTGATAAGTAGAATGTGGATGATCTGAACTAACACACGAATAAGTAGAATGTGGATGTACTCACTTAACTCTCGGATAAGTATGATGTGGATGTACTCACTTAACACACGGAGAAGTAGAATGTGGATGCACTCACTTAACACATACATCAGTACAATGTGGTGCACTATCTTAAAATATTGATAAGTAGAATGTGGATGCACTGACTTAACACATGGATAAGTACAATGTGGATTTACTGATTTAACACACGGATAAGTAGAATGTGGATGTACTGACTTAACACATGGATATGTAGAATGTGGATGTACTCACTTAACACGTGGATCAATAGAATGTGGATGTACTCATACTTAACTCAGCTATAAGTAGAATGTGAATGTACTCACTTAACAAATGGATGAGTGGAATGTGGAAGTACTGACTTAACACACGGATAAGTAGAATGTGGATGCATTGAATTAGCACATCGATATGTAGAATGTGGATGTACTGACTTAACACAAGGACAGGTAGAATGACGGTCTACTGACTTAGCATACAGATAACTAGAATATGGATGTTCTTAATTAACACACGGATAAGTAGAAAATGGACGTACTGAATTAACACATGGATAAGTAGAATGTGGATGTACTCACTTAACGCACGGATAAGTGGAATGTGGATGTACTGACTTAACGCACGGATCAGTAAAATGTTGACGTACTGACTTAACACACGGCTAAGTAGAATGTGAATGTGCTGTCTTAATACATGGATAAGTGGAATTTGGATTTACAGACTTAACACACGGATAAGTAGAATCTGAATGCAGTCCCTTAAGACATGGATAAGTAAAATGTCGATGTACTGATTTAACACATGGATAAGTAGAATGTGGATGTACTGACATAACACTCGGATAAGTAGAATGTGGATGTACTGTCCTAACACACGTATAAGTAAAATGTTGGTGTACTGACTTAACAAACGGATAAGTAGAATGTGGATCTTCTCACTTACAACTTGGATAAGTAGAATGTTGGTGTACTGACTTACACGGATAAGTAGAATGTAGGTGTTCTGACTTAACACATGAATAAGTAGAATGTGTATGTACTGACTTAACACAAGGATAAGTAAAATGTGGATGCACTGACTTAATACAGGGATAAGTAGAATGTGGATGTACTGAATTAACACACGGATAAGTAGAATGTGGATGTACTGACAACACTCGGATAAGTAGAATGTGGATGTACTGACTTAACTCATGGATAAGTAGAATGTGGATGTACTGACTTAACTCATGGATAAGTAGAATGTTGGTGTACTGACTTAACAAACGGATAAGTAGAATGTGGATGTTCTCACTTAAAACTTGGATAAGTAGAATGTTGGTGTACTGACTTAACACACGGATAAGTAGAATGTAGGTGTTCTGACTTAAAACATGAATACGTAGAATGTGTATGTACTGTCTTAACACATGTATAAGTAGAATGTGGATGTACTGACTTAACACACGGATAAATAGAATGTGGATGTACTGAATTAACACATGAATAAGTAGAATGTGGATGTACTCACTTAACACACGGATAAGTAGAACGTGGATGTACTGATTAAACACACAGATAAGTAGAATGTGGATGTACTGAATTAACACACGGATAAGTAGAATGTTGGTGTACTGAATTAACACGTGTATAAGTAGAATGCGGATGTACTGTCTTAACACACAGATAAGTAAAATGTGGATGTACTGAATTAACACACGGATGAGTAGAATGTGGATGTACTGACTTAATACAGGGATAAGTAGAATGTGGATGTACTGAATTAACACACGGATAAGTAGAATGTGGATGTACTGACATAACACTCGGATAAGTAGAATGTGGATGTACTGACTTAACTCATGGATAAGTAGAATGTGGATGTACTGACTTAACTCATGGATAAGTAGAATGTGGATGTACTGACTTAACACACGGATAAATAGAATGTGGATGTACTGACTAAACACACAGATGAGTAGAATGTGGATGTACTGAATTAACACACGGATAAGTAGAATGTTGGTGTACTGAATTAACACGTGTATAAGTAGAATGCGGATGTACTGTCTTAACACACGGATAAGTAAAATGTGGATGTACTGAATTAACACACGGATGAGTAGAATGTGGATGTACTGAATTAACACATGGGTATGTAGAATGTGGATGTACTGTCTTGACACACGTATAAGTAGAATGATGTTGTACTGACTAAACACATGGATAAGTAGAATGCGGTTGTAATGAATTAATACATGGATAAGTAGAATGTGGATGTACTGAATTAATACAGGGATAAGTAGATTGTGGATGTACTGTCTTAACACACGGATAACAGAATGCGGGTGTACTGACTTAATGCACTGATAAGTAGTATGTGGCTGTACTGAATTAACACACGCATAAGTAGAATGTGGATGTACTGAAATAATACATGGATAAGTAGAATGTGGATGTACTGAATTAATACATGGATAAGTAGAATGTGGATGTACTGACTTAACACTCGGATAAGTAGAATGTGGAGTACTTACAAAACAAAACAGACAGTAGACATGGATGGACTGACTGAACAACGAGGGGAGTGGAAGGTAGGTGGACTGACAGAACAACGAGGGGAGTGGAAGGTAGGCGGACTTACTCAACACAGTGTGAAGCTGTCAGAATAGTGCAGGAGTCGATGATTGTAGCTCCACACACGGGGTTGACGCTGCCCCCGATGTTGAGGGAGGCGTAGGAGTCGTAGGCTCCCTCCTGTATTGCGATGCCTCCCATGATTCTTGTTGTTTTGGCAAGAGCTCGGATCGTTGAAAGATCGTTGCAATCTTGTAAGGGGAAGCAAAAGTTTCTCATCATAAACATTTCAAACTTGTCCTTGTAAATTCTGTTTTCTTTGATAAACAACAAACATAGCCCAGTACCGTTTGTTATGAAGTGAGTCAGCGGATTCAGTTTCAAACCTTTTTTTAACCACTAGACTACCCGCCGTCTGTTGTTAGGAAGCCTCGACATGACTAAACTATATATCATGTATTATACCCAAAGCATGCTGGCTCGGCTGCTGTCTACTGTTGTATCTATTCAAGACTGGTATGAATGTTGTTGGGATCACAGAAGTGGGTAGGTTGCTTAGTAATCTCATCATGTCAGATGTCTTTGGTACGACAATAAACTGGTTAAATAAATTGATGGGACAAAGTCACAAATAAACATATTTACAACAACATAAACATTCCCATTATATCCATAATCTCCCGGTGGGGATTGAATGGTCACTATGGATGCAAAGAAAAACAGAACTCGTTTGAATGGAAACCAACTGTACATATCTCATGTCTACATTCTTTGGTAGGTGTCACCGAAATCCAAGGGGTGCTGTTGTTTGACAGTCATTCTGAGGTGCAAATGCCAGAATACTTGTCGCATGAAATTGTTGCATCGCATTGACTCACACACTTACTGAGGGAGGGAGCAGCCGTGGTTGTTGTCGTAGTTGCGGCTGTAAAATTCGTCGGTAGTGTAGTCGTGGCTGTTATAGTTGCAGTAGTTGGCGTATAGGCCCCAGGCGTACACTGGTCAGACAAGACGCCGATGAGCTGTTCGAAGCCACATTTTGTGTAGCTGCTAGGCATGTTTTGAAGGAGATTGCATAACCACGCCTTACCAGCTGATGACAGGTCACTGAATGCTGCAAGTATACAATGTAGATAATGTAATGAATTTAATTATATTGTCCAACACCTTGTCAGTGGACGCCAAGCGTTGTCACATACATGGTATCTTAAGATACAACCATGATGGCGTGGCTCGGTCATGTCATTACAGTCTTTGTCATACCATTCGTTTTACTTTGAGGTGAGTGAGTGAGCGAGTTTGGTTTAAAGGCGGGGGACACCAGAAATGGGCTTCACACATTGTACCCATGTGGGGAATCGAACCCGAGTCTTCGGCGTGATGAGCGAACACTTTAACCACTAGGCTTCCCTACCGCCCTTTACTCAGAGGTGCATCCATGGTAAGACCTAGAACATATTGAGGGCGTCATGCAATAGACCCATACACAAACTCCGACGTATCCCGCCCGACAAATCTGACCTTGTTGGCTTTGATCAATCCAATTAAAGCAGCATTTTGAATTCACAGTCTTCTTAGACAATAATGTGATTGGCACTGCTTCTGACACTTTGGGTAATGCAGACTGCTACAGTGTTGGGGAGTGTTCACATTGCCTTAAGGTTCTTAGTGGATGAATCCCAGACAGCGCTTCCCGGGAGAAGTCCCGAGTGGTGCTGGCCAACGTGGAAAGGGTTTACGAGCCGTGAGCGAAGGATGATCGTAACCAACCTGATGATGCCGGATCTGTCTGAACCGTTCATATATTAAATAATAGCAACATTATATCGATAATGTCTATCACAGTTATGTATTTTTCATAAGTAAGGTGTCGGCATTTACTGAGTGAGCAATTTGTCTGAGAGGACCTTTGGGGGTCGGCATTAACTGAGTATGCAATTTGTCGGAGGCCTTTGGGGGTTGGTATTGGGTCAGTTGTTCAGGAATTTGTCGGAGGCCTTTGGGGATTGTAATTGGGTTAGTTGTTCAGGAATTTGTCGGAGGCCTTTGGGGGTTGGTATTGGGTTAGTTGTTCAGGAATTTGTCGGAGGCCTGTGGGGGTTGGTATTGGGTTAGTTGTTCAGGAATTTGTCGGAGGCCTTTGGGGGTTGGTATTGGGTTAGTTGTTATGCAATTTGTCGGAGGCCTTTGGGGGTTGGGATTGGGTTAGTTGTTATGCAATTTGTCGGAGGCCTGTGGGGGTTGGTATTGGGTTAGTTGTTATGCAATTTGTCGGAGGCCTGTGGGGGTTGGGATTGGGTTAGTTGTTATGCAATTTGTCGGAGGCCTTTGGGGGTTGGGATTGGGTTAGTTGTTCAGGAATTTGTCGGAGGCCTGTGGGGGTTGGGATTGGGTTAGTTGTTATGCAATTTGTCGGAGGCCTGTGGGGGTCGGTATTGGGTTAGTTGTTCAGGAATTTGTCGGAGGCCTGTGGGGGTTGGGATTGGGTTAGTTATTATGCAATTTGTCGGAGGCCTTTGGGGGTCGGTATTGGGTTAGTTGTTCAGGAATTTGTCGGAGGCCTATGGGGGTTGGTATTGGGTTTGTTGTTATGCAATGTGTCGGAGGCCTGTGGGGGTTGGGATTGGGTTAGTTATTATGCAATTTGTCGGAGGCCTGTGGGGGTCGGTATTGGGTTAGTTGTTCAGGAATTTGTCGGAGGCCTGTGGGGTTGGTATTGGGTTAGTTGTTATGCAATTTGTCGGAGGCCTGTGGGGTTGGGATTGGGTTAGTTATTATGCAATTTGTCGGAGGCCTGTGGGGGTTGGTATTGGGTTAGTTGTTCAGGAATTTGTCGGAGGCCTTTGGGGGTTGGGATTGGGTTAGTTGTTCAGGAATGTGTCGGAGGCCTGTGGGGTTGGGATTGGGTTAGTTATTATGCAATTTGTCGGAGGCCTGTGGGGGTTGGTATTGGGTTAGTTGTTCAGGAATTTGTCGGAGGCCTTTGGGGGTTGGGATTGGGTTAGTTGTTCAGGAATGTGTCGGAGGCCTATGGGGGTTGGGATTGGGTTAGTTGTTCAGGAATTTGTCGGAGGCCTATGGGGGTTGGGATTGGGTTAGTTGTTCAGGAATTTGTCGGAGGCCTGTGGGGGTTGGGATTGGGTTAGTTGTTATGCAATTTGTCGGAGGCCTGTGGGGGTCGGTATTGGGTTAGTTGTTCAGGAATTTGTCGGAGGCCTGTGGGGGTTGGGATTGGGTTAGTTATTATGCAATTTGTCGGAGGCCTGTGGGGGTCGGTATTGGGTTAGTTGTTCAGGAATTTGTCGGAGGCCTGTGGGGGTCGGTATTGGGTTAGTTGTTCAGGAATTTGTCGGAGGCCTGTGGGGCTTGGTATTGGGAAAGTTAGTTGTTCAGGAATTTGTCTTCAACAATAAACTAGGAATTGTTGTTATACCTTCATCGCGTAAACCACTGAGACTTGGCTTGAATGTAGTCATCAACAGTTGCAAAATTTTGTAAAAGATGTATGTATAGCTCCTTCCGTAGGACTTCTGTATTTGTTGATAAGCTTTGTAATTGGTGAGGGTATCGGTTCCTAGTATGATGCAGAGAGCCCTGCCAAGAAGGTCCTCTGGAATGTGATTGTAGAGATTCGACGGGAACGGTGGTGCGGTAGGAGGCGGTGTAGGAGGCTGCGTAGGAGGCAGTGTAGGAGGGGCTGTTACATGGTAAGGGTAGTTGCGGTGGTAGTTGTAGTGGTCATCGTTGTAGTAGTAGCTGCTGTTCAACAAAGTGAACAAATATCATTTCAGGTTTTGATTTAAGAACTTGATTTAACTGCTACCAGCTGCATGTTGAAATGGAATTCAGTTGCCCAACACAATACACACCCTGATCCCATACATCTACCAAAGTTCCAACACAGGTGCATACACTATATCTAAATACCCAAAATGGCTTATATACACACAAGGCTTATATATTTCTTTGACATGAACTTGGTTCGTGTAGACATAAATAATAGGTTCCTTTTTCCAATAATAGGTAGCATAGCTGCATCGTTTGATATAGCTAAATGGTTACCGTAATTTGTTATCTGCACACACACGCACGCACATATATATATATTTAAAAAAAGACTTGAACAAACTGAAGTATGCAGATTTACTAGAAATGGAAAATATGTCCAAGCGGCCGCCAACACACCACTCACTAAGTACGTACACACACAGGATAGCAAGCATACAATAAGAGAAAGCTTGAAGTTCTTCACCCTATGTTCAAGGGGAACCTGACATGCCTTAGAGTCTATTCGTTTTTTTCTGAAGACTCCATGATACATTTATTCACATACGAAAACACCTGTTCTGTCCAAGGTTCCATAGATTATGATAGAGAGACACACTTACGGTCGTCTGTATCCTCCACTTCCTGGACGACGGTAACTTCCCCCCGACCTAGAGCTACTGTATCCGAAATGGGGACGGAGTCCGCCATCCTGGGCAACAGTCAGGAGGACCAGCAAACACAGCACCAGCAACGACCTCATGATGAAGATGATCTGATTATCAATCCCTCGGCAATTTATAGCCCCCATAACTCCAAACAGGTGCGTGTGACGTCATCATCCAATCCACGGTTGACTTTTAACGGAAAGAAATCCCTATTGGTTTGGTTTTCAGAAAGTGTAACTCAAATTCACGTGGCAGCACTGCACTTTGTTTTACAAATACATCACATGTTCATTGGATAGATATAAGTTGTTATAAACATATATGCCTGGCCTGATATCGATTCAGTGACATGGCGCAATGCATCTACTTGAGGTTGTACATGTGAAGGACATTATGTTGTCTGTTGACAACGTCACCGGCGTTCTTCTATTGATCGACTTGTAACTGTATCCAAATAGTAACCACCCATTGTTTCTGTTGTTTGTCAATACACAAGATACACCTGTAGGATGGCTATGAGAGGTGTGGATAGACACGACACGACCGGTAAATGGTAATGTGGGTCTAACATCAACAATATTGTGTATACGCCACTTTCAGTTGCACTGTACATCTTGAACGATATGAAGCTTTTCAGACAGACGACTCCCACAGATGACAGGTTCCAAATCAATCTAATGACTCATTTTTCTATTGGTATGATAAAATTATGTGCTTCAATCTATCACCTATTATCAAATTGTGATTAAACGTTTGTTTGTCGAGACTTTGTTCAGGGCATGCCGAAACATGGGCTAATAAAGAGATACCAGTCATCATGTGGCCTATGATCTGACCAATCAACTTTTAGCACCTCCGAATTTTATTTTTTTTTAACAAATATCATTACGTTATTGTCAGGTGTGATTAAAACTATCAACGGTTGCGATCGTTCTTGGTCGAATGGTAAAATATAGATGTTGAGTGTTTTATATGAAAATGTACATTCAAACATACACATGGAACTTAGTTAAGCACCCCCATGTTTTAGAACAGTGAACAAGGTGTCAGAACTTTCATACTTCGAAAAGGGCAGTAATGCCTAATTATCTGATGGAAAATTGAATAATTGACTAAAGAAAAACAACAAAATGTAGACAATATGTTAATTTATAATTTCAGTTGGTTGTTTATCAAAATGAGGCACCACAAATTGATAACGACTGTCCGTGATGTAGCGCTGGCCATTAGGTCACCCTGGTCAACTTAACGTCATGGGAGACGCTACGCCTCCACCAAAGGGAACAGTAGGATGAATGTTCCTCGGCACAAAAGAAGTGATTGCGCATCCAATGTCTCTTAGACGACCATTCGTAACATGGAGCAGGAACCTGCTTTCGTCTGACTAATGGATCCATCTCCTGGTTCGAAGATTCCAGCGCCGAAGAGCACGAGACCACTGCAGACTGCCCTTGACGTTCAGATGTCAGAGATGGACGTCTGTTGTACCAGGGCAAAAGTCGTGAGACAGTTCCGCACAGCCCTGGTTGACAAACGTCTGTTGGGCATCCAGAATTGCTTCAAACAGGTGCTCGTGGTGAAGGGTTCACACCTAACGTAACGGGACACATTGCGATCTTAATGCTGGAAGGGCCTTCCTGGGCCCTGATCGATCCTTGACATCACTTTGGTGTTTCTGGTCTACTAATGACAGAGTCGCGGTACCCAAACTGACGCCCGATGGCCTTGAAGGACATGCCAGCTGCATGCATACCCACTATCTGCCACCTGCTCCTGTGAAGTCATTTTAACGTGTATGGATGATACGGGTGGCATATTCACATTTAAATAGCCTTGAAAGCCAGGCACAGATAGAGCTTTCCAAGATACGAGTGGGTAGCATGATTTAATAATAATAATAATAATAATAATGTGTCCATTTATATAGCGCCAAACTCCACACTAGGTAGGCTCATAGCGCTAACAATCAAGGCACAGCACATTATTACCCCGGATAACCCATGCATTACATGCATGTGGGCTGCGTTCTGGCAAACCCTCTTAAACCTTGTCTTTCATCACCTGAAATGTGCTATTAAACAGTGGTATCATTGACACATCATCATCATAGAGGTCATCTTAATGAAAGTTATAAGGGTCTGCCTAATTTAGTTCCTTGTGCATAACGATAAGTAAAGCGACAAAAGCTTCAAGCCACAGGCGGTTCCCGGTCTTGGCTAGAGACGTCATGTGTTATGGTTGCATTGAGCCTACAGTGTGAAAGTGTGCGTTAAAAAGCTCGACAGCAGAGGACGTAGGGCAACTGATCGTACCACCTGGTGCTATTACCTTTATATACAAGCAGATAGATACTGATGCTGAAATGCTCGGCGTTAAACAACGAACAAAACTTCATGCATGAAACAAACAAATAAACAAGTGCTCGTAATATGGTCGGAACTTTTACTATCGGCTCTGCTTTTCTCAGCGATTTCTTCTGGATGTGGAACGGACTTTGTGGCAATTATTTCATGTGGTTCATTTGCATTCTACGATTTATGTTTTTTTCTTTAATTTCAAAACCTGACGCAACGGACTAGTTGGATGCATCCATACTATATTTTGACAAACATATCGGAGTGACTGACACATAGTACTGTAAGTCGTAAAGCCTCTCAAGAACCACACTAATACTATATGCCTCTCAAGAACCACACCAATACTATATGCTTCTCAAGAACCACACCAATACTATATGTCTCTCAAGAACCACACCAATACTATATGTCTCTCAAGAACCACACTAATACCATATGCCTCTCAAGAACCACACCAATACTATATGCCTCTCAAGAACCACACCAATACTATATGCTTCTCAAGAACCACACCAATACTATATGCTTCTCCAGAACCACACCAATACTATATGCCTCTCAAGAACCACACCAATACTATATGCCTCTCAAGAACCACACCAATACCATATGCCTCTCAAGAATCACACCAATACTATATGCCTCTCAAGAATCACACCATTACTATATGCTTCTCAAGAACCACACCAATACTATATGCTTCTCAAGAACCACACCAATACCATATGCTTCTCCAGAACCACACCAATACCATATGGCTCTCAAGAATCACACCAATACTATATGCCTCTCAAGAACCACGCCAATACTATATGCCTCTCAAGAATCACACCAATACTATATGCCTCTCCAGAACCACACCAATACTATATGCCTCTCAAGAACCACACCAATACTATATGCTTCTCAAGAAACACACCAATACTATATGCTTTCAAGAACCACACCAATACTATATGCTTCTCAAGAACCACACCAATACTATATGCCTCTCAAGAACCACACCAATACTATATGCCTCTCAAGAATCACACCAATACCAGATCCCTCTTAAGAACCACACCAATACTATATGCTTCTCAAGAACCATACCAATACTGTATGCTTCTCAAGAACCACACCAATACTATATGCCTCTCAAGAATCACACCAATACAATATGCCTCTTCAGAACCACACCAATACTATATGCCTCTCAAGAACCACACCAACACTGTATGCCTCTCCAGAACCACACCAATACCACATGCCTCTCAAGAACCACACCAATACCATATGCCTCTCAAGAACCACACCAATATTATATGCCTCTCCAGAACCACACCAATACTATATGCCTCTCCAGAACCACACCAATACTATATGCCTCTCCAGAACCACACCAATACTATATGCCTCTCCAGAACCACACCAATACTATATGCCTCTCAAGAACCACACCAACACTGTATGCCTCTCCAGAACCACACCAATACCACATGCCTCTCAAGAACCACACCAATACCAGATCCCTCTTAAGAACCACACCAATACTATATGCCTCTCCAGAACCACACCAATATTATATGCCTCTCAAGAACCACACCAATACTATATGCCTCTCAAGAACCACACCAATACCAGATCCCTCTTAAGAACCACACCAATATTATATGCCTCTCAAGAGCCACACCAATATTATATGCCTCTCAAGAATCAAACCGATACTATATGCCTCTGAAGAACCACACCAATACCACATGCCTCTGAAGAGCCACACCAATACCACATGCCTCTGAAGAGCCACACCAATATTATATGCCTCTCAAGAGCCACACCAATATTATATGCTTCTCAAGAACCACACCACTGAGAACTGTATCGCATGGTATGTATGTCTCAAGAACCACACCAATACTGAGAACTGTATCGCATGGTATGTATGTTGGTGAGAACTGTATCGCATGGTATGTATGTTGGTGAGAACTGTATCGCATGGTATGTATGTGGTATGGTGAGAACTGTATCGCATGGTATGTATGTACGGTGAGAACTGTATCGCATGGTATGTATGTACGGTGAGAACTGTATCGCATGGTATGTATGTACGGTGAGAACTGTATCGCATGGTATGTATGTACGGTGAGAACTGTATCGCATGGTATGTATGTACGGTGAGAACTGTATCGCATGGTATGTATGTATGGTGAGAACTGTATCGCATGGTATGTATGTACGGTGAGAACTGTATCGCATGGTATGTATGTACGGTGAGAACTGTATCGCATGGTATGTATGTATGTATGGTGAGAACTGTATCGCATGGTATGTATGTATGTATGGTGAGAACTGTATCGCATGGTATGTATGTATGGTGAGAACTGTATCGCATGGTATGTATGTACGGTGAGAACTGTATCGCATGGTATGTATGTATGTATGGTGAGAACTGTATCGCATGGTATGTATGTATGGTGAGAACTGTATCGCATGGTATGTATGTATGGTGAGAACTGTATCGCATGGTATGTATGTATGTACGGTGAGAAACTGTATCGCATGGTATGTATGTACGGTGAGAACTGTATCGCATGGTATGTATGTTGGTGAGAACTGTATCGCATGGTATGTATGTATGGTGAGAACTGTATCGCATGGTATGTATGTATGGTGAGAACTGTATCGCATGGTATGTATGTACGGTGAGAACTGTATCGCATGGTATGTATGTACGGTGAGAACTGTATCGCATGGTATGTATGTATCGGTGAGAAACTGTATCGCATGGTATGTATGTACGGTGAGAA